CACATGTTCTCACTCATATAGTGGACCTTGAACGTCTATCATAATACTATAAGAAAAGGACCGACAGTGTGGAAAACTATGGGGGGGTATGGAGGGGAAGGGAGGTGGGACTAACGGTAGTCAATATCTGTCTGGGGATGGAGAGACACTCCTCATCAACAAGGGTACCTGCACAATACATATTTGTATACCCAACCCTTAACTGTACCCCACAATTTTAAAATAAAAAGTATATTTAAAATGGAAAAACAAGAAAAAAACAATACCTCAATAGCTTTCCCATTGCTCTGTAGTGACGTCACTGTTGTAAATCAGGTGACCGTATACGTGCAGGTCTTTTGTTTCACTATCTATTTAGTTGTGTTTGTACTGTGCAAAACTGTCTTCATCCTGTAATCCTTAAAATCCTGCAATATAAATCCTGTAGCTTTATTCTTCTTCAAGGTTGTCATGACTATTCGAAGTTCTTTTCACATCTATATTAATTTTAATATTATCTTCTCAGTTTCTACTAAAAAAAACTTGGAAGAAATCTTGATCAGGATTGTAGATTCTTTGTAGATTCAAAAATAGTAGTCTTTCTTTTTTCTTCCCAATTCTTATACCTTTCTTTTTTTTTTTTTTTGCCTTGCTGCAGTGGCTAAATTCACCAATGCAATGTTAAATAGACATGGTGATGGTGCATATTAATGTCTTATGTCCAAACTCAGTAATAAAGCAATCAATATTTCTCTACTAAGTATAATGCTGGCTATAGTTTTTCATTAAGCTGAACTGCATGAAATTGCCATTTTATAGGTCAATAATAATTACATAAAGAAATTTCATATGGCTCAAAGTAATGTAGGTAACCTTTTTTAGGATATGAAAGCTCTATTTCTAATTTGCTGCAATTTTTTCCATAAACAGGTTTGCATTTTAAATACTTCTGTATCTATCAGGTTGGTTATGTGATTTATCTCCTTTATTCTGTGATTGTGTGAATTACATTGATTGTCATCCAGGCTGGAGTGCAATGGCATGATTCTGGCTCACTTCAGCCTTGACTTCCTGGGATTCAGATGATTTTCCCACCTCAGCCTCCCTAGTGGCTGGGACTAAAGGAGTGCATCACTACATGTGGATAATTTTTTTTTTTTTCTTGTAGAGATGAGGTTGCCCAGGCTAGACTCGAACTCCTGGCCTCAAGTGATCCTCCCACCTCAGCCTCCCAAAATGTTGAAGTTACAAGCATGAGCCACTGTGCCTGGCCACATTCATTTTAAAATATTAAGTCAATCTTATGTTCCTAAATAAATCCCTCTTAGCCGGGCTCGGCGGCTCAGCCTATAATCCCGCGCCTTTGGGAGGCTGAGGTGAGTGAATTGCCTGAGCCCGC